TCACATGACAAATTTCCAAAAATGGTAAAAAAACAAAAGTTGTAGCTCTTTACCATAGCTTCCAGAATCAGTTGGAATTATGTCCTAAAGTGCTTCCATTGTGGAGATATAAGGTAAAAGGTTTTCAAAAGCACCGCGTTTTTTTTTGTTTTTTGCATTTTTCTTCATGAAAAGAACACTAAACAACATGATTTCAACAGATTTAGAAAGCTAAGAGAAGGGGCTACAACTATTGTATCGTGGGAAATTTCTCCCAAAAAGGAAGGTACATGCCCTAAAAGGGTAATTGACACTGACAGACTACAAAAGTAATTTATAGCCTACAAAGTTTACTAATAGACTACAAAAAAGACTACAAAAGTTGGACATAGACCACAAAGGTCAGACAAAGACTACAAAAATTAGTAGTGTCTGCTTTTCTCATTACAAAAGTAATAGTGTCCGCTTTTTGAGACTACAAAAATTAGTAGTGTCTGTTTTTTCAGACTACAATGGTTTGTAGTGTCCGCTTTTTGAGACTACAAAAGTTAGTAGTGTCTGCTTTTTCAGACTACAATGGTTTGTAGTGTCCGCTTTTTTCATTATAAAAGTTAATAGTGTCCACTTTTTGAGACTACAATGGTTTGTAGTGTCCGCTTTTTGAGACTACAAAAGTTAGTAGTGTCTGCTTTTCTGACATATAGTATGTAGTGTGGTTAACTATATGTATATAGGTCATTGGGGATATGATTGAAGGATTGGGATGAGTTGATATTCTGCCACTTATGAATAGTTGTGTTTGATGTCAGGTCCATGGCTGTTTTCCACACTAAGCCACTATCCTATCTTTGATGTTGGTTAACCTTCCACTCAGATCAGTATCTGCTGTCCTATGTCTGACCACAGTCAATCTTCACATGATTTTTTTGGAGTGATAAATTCTCTGTGCTACCAATGCAACTTGTCATGTCTTTCAATACCAAGACCAGTTGTCATTCTCCAAGCCTTCACCACGGCGGTCAGCCTTGAGTAGATTGATTTAAAGGTACCAAAAGTGAGTTAAATATGTGGTTGGTCCT